GACCACCCCCCTGTGGCAGAACCATCTCGATCCTCCGGGCCACATTGGCACCTCCTGAAAAGTAATATCACTACCCGCCTCTCTGGCCATCTGAAGACGAATGGGCTGGATCAAACCGTCAATAAGTCTCCTCACCCTCTCCCTCTCAGTGGGAAGTATGACGAGGGCATGGCGAGCTAGATCGATAAACCGGGTCTCATACCGAGTGACTGTCATAGACCCCTGCTGGAGGCGCTCGAACTGCCTCCGATAAGCATCCCTCTGAGTAACGGGGAGAAACTTCTCCAGGAACAACTCTGAAAACTGATTCCAAGTCAAAGGCGGTGACCCTACTGGTCTGGCTAAACAGTAATCCCTCCACCAAGTCTTGGCAGATCCAGATAGACGAAAAGCCGCAAAATCAACTCCATTGGACTCCACAATGCCCATGTTTCGAAGAACCTCGTGGCAGCTGTATAAGAAATCCTGGGGGTCCTCAGAAGAAGCTCCGCTGAATGTAGTAGTGAAAAGCTTGGTGAACCTGTCCAACCTCCACAAAGCATCAGCGGACATAGCCGCTCCATCACCGGCCCGTGCAACTACTCCCGGCTGAACTGCCACAGCTGTCTGAGCCGGTGGAATCTGAGTCTGGGGAGCTACCTGCTCCGGAGTACGTGCAGCAGCAGTCTGGGCTCCTCCTCCAGCCTGGGAAGTGGCTGGTGCTGCAGGAAGTAATCCTGCTCGGGTGACATTCTCCATGAGGCCAACCAACCGGACCAAGGCGTCCTGAAGAACTGGGGTAGCAATAAACCCCTGTGGGACCTGAGCTGGGCCCACCGAAACTTTCTCGGGGTTAAGTATCATGTTATATTTCCTCAAAATCTCGAACGTTTCCTGCAAATGAGCCAAATGGTACAGGGACTTAACTAGCATGTCATTAATATAAACTTCCGCTGACTTACCTATTTGTTCTTCGAACATCTTATTTACTAGGTGTTGGTAAGTAGCTCTTGCATTTTTTAGCCGAAGGGAATTGCATTGTAACAATATGTTCCATACTTGGTGATAAACGAGGTCTTCTCCTGGTCTTCCGGGTTCATCTGAATTTGATTGTACCCGCAACAGGCATTGAGAAAAGTAAGGATCTCGTGGCCAGCCATGGCATCGATCATGCAATCGATGTTAGGTAGTGGAAAAGAGTCTTTAGGGCATGCCTTGTTCAAATCCTTGTAATCTACGCACATTCTAAGATTATTCCCCTTTTTAGGGACTACGACTATATTGTGTAACCATTCGGGGTATTATACCTCCCGAATAGACCCTATTTTAAGAAGTTTAGTTACCTCATCCTTTATGAATGAATCCTTTACCTCTGATTGGGGTCTTCTCTTTTGCTCCACCGGTTTGAACCTGGGGTCAAGGCTTAGCCGGTGTGTTGTTATCTCCGGTGGGATCCCTGTCATGTCTAAATGGGACCAAGTAAAAGAATCCATGTTATCGATAAGAAATTGAATAAGTTTTTTCCTGAGTTTGGGGGTTAACCCCGTTCCCAAGTATACCTTTTGCTCAGGTAGGTGCTCGTTCAATATAACTTGTTTAAGCTCCTCGACCGTTGATTTGGTGGCGTCAGAATCTTTGGGTACAATAAAGGTTCGAGGAGTCACAAAGTCCTCTTCNTTGCGGCGTGCAACCCGCTCCATAATTACCATTGTTGCGGCGTGCAACCCGCTCCATAATATCATTTATCATGTATCATTGTTGCGGCGCGCAACCCGATCCTCACATTTTATTGTTGCGGCGTGCAACCCGATCCTCAATATCATTGTTGCGGCGCGCAACCCGATCCTCAATATCATTTAACAGCCCGACTCCCCAAACAACAGTCACAATAAAGGGGCATAAAAATAAGCAAATATTTGACAAACATCCCGGCAAGGGAAAGAATTCAACAAATGCAACCAAACATCCCGGCAAGGGAATAATCAACAACGCTTTCTCTTTCTTACTTTCCTTATCTTTTAATTCACTTTACTATTTTGAGACAACGCTCCAAAGAATCAAGTCTTTTCGTATACTTTCAATATTCGTATAACAATTTGAGCCAATGCTCCCAGGAATCAAGTGATCATATTACCGTTCACATGTTATTCACAACAACTAGAAATCCTCCAATAAACACGGAGTTCACAACTAAGTCATGATAATCACATTATAAGGACTCACGGTCATGCTAGACACCAATGTATAGATACTCGTCACCATGCCTATACATCGTACTCGATCACATAGCAATTAGCAACAAGATTCAACTCCTATTCCCTCAAGCTAGGGTTAAACCAAACACTTACCTCAAAGCCTTGAAATCCACTTAATCCTCAACTATTGCTTTACATCGCGGTTCCACCTCCAATTCGCTCGAATCTAATCACAAATTGCTCAATGACTTTAGCAAACACTATATGAATTAGTTTGAATGCATAAAAACGATTTTCCCAAAGTTTTACTCAAAATTTCCCAAAACGCCCCCGGGCCCACGTGGTCAAAACTCGAGGTTCGAACCAAAATCTGGTTACCCATTCCCCCACGAGTTTAAATATATAATTTGTTTTGAAATCGGACCTCAATTCGAGGTCCAACTTTCCAATTTATAGAAAACCTAGGTTCTACCCAAAAACCCCAATTTCACCCATGAAAATCCTTGATTTCAAGTGGAAAACATGTTTAATGATGTTAAAAGTTGAAAGAATTGAGTAAAAATAAACTTACAAATGATTTGGGATGAAGTTTGCTCTTGAAAAATCGCCTATGGTGTTTGGGTTTTGAAGGAATGGTGAAAGGTGGTGAAAATTCGACTAAGTATAAAATTTGCTGGGCCTCGGATATGGGAATTGCGAACTAGGGTTCGCAATTGCGAACCCAGGTCTGCTACTTTGGGAAATGCGAAGCTGAGGATCGCATTTGCGAAACTTTACCAAATGGCCAGTCTTCGCATTTGCGAGAAAATGATCGCATTTGCGACAAAATGATCGCATTTGCGATTGGCCACCCCTCGCATTTGCGAGCCAAGCCATCGCATTTGCGACAGTGCCCGGAAATCCCCTGGTTCGCATTTGCGAACAAATGGATCGCATTTGCGATCCCATGCAAAAATCCCCAGCTTTGCAATTGCAATACAGTGTTCGCATTTGCAAACTAGCAATTGCGAGTCCCATCTTCGCATTTGCGAAAATCACAGAAGCCAGCATACCAGATTTTTCAAAACATGAGAAATGCAATCCGACGCCTATCCAAAACTCACCCGAGCCCCCGGGGCTCCAAACCAAACATGTACACAACCTCAACAACATCCTACGGACTTACTCGAGCGATCAAATTGCCAAAATAACATCAAAATCATTGAATCAAGCCTCAAACTCATCATTTTCATTTCAAAATTCATGAACTTCCAACTTTAGACATTTAGGTCCGAAACACGTCAAACGACGTCCGATTTCGACCAAACTTTACAGAAAGCGCTTAAACAATATATACGACTTGTACCGGGCATCGGAACCAAAATACGATCCCGATACCACAGTCTTTTAATCAATTTTTATTTCCATTTTCCTTAATGATTTCAGAAAAACAATTTCACAGAAAAATTCATTTCTCGGGCTCTAGACCTCGGAATTCGACGCCGGGCACATGCCCGAGTCCATATTTTTCTACGGTCCTTCCGGGACCGTCCAATCTCGGGTCCAGGTCCGTTTACCAAAAATATTGACCAAAGTCAACCTTAAACATATTAATATCAAAATTCTTCAAATTTTTCACAGAATTCACATATTTCAACATAAAAGCTTTCCGGCTACGCGCCCGGACTGCGCATGCAAATCGAGGCAAGTAAAAAATGAGGTTTTCAATGCCTCGAAAATACAGAATGAATGAGGAAACAGGTGATGACCCTTTGGGTCGTCACATGCGAGCTTATATAAAGGTACAATATTAGAAAGACCAAAAGGGCAACTCGGTGTACAAGGCATTCACGTTCATGTAGGGTCCGGGAAGGGTCGCACTCTTAAGAAGTGTAATGTAGACAATCTACCTTAATGCAAGCATTAGTAACTGCTTCCTTGACTCAAATTTGTGACCTATAAGTCATGCTGATACAACTTTATCGTTACTCCAAGACTCCTAGTATCGGAAAGTCCGTAAAAAATAAAACAAAAGATATAATGATTTGTATTTTCAACTAGCAATCTATTCCCAATGTTATTCTTTTAGTATATTCTTTTGTTGATTTTTATGGATCCTCGCTTTGAGAAATCTCTGCCCCCTTGTCGTTTGGGCTCAAGACATGAGTATGCATGAAGAAAGAGGAAAATATAAACAAGAACTAATTAGGCTGGACCACCATAGGTCCATCATAATTTTTCAGTACTTCATAAACCCACTCCAAATGATTTCCACTTGTTAGTAAATTTCAAGAAAAAAGATAATCCGGTGCACAACACGTTCCGCATTTACGCATGGTCCAAGGAAGGGCTGCACCTCAAGGGATGTGATGTAGACAATGTAAGCATTAGTGGATGCTTCCACGTCTCAAATCCGTAACCTACAGGTCAAACATAGATAAGTTCAATGTTGCTCCAAAAACATTTACTATAATTCAATGGCAAACTAGAATATTTGGGTTGTAGAACTAACAGATAAAAAAGTTTCCAGATTATTTTCAGCTGGCAAATTTGGTTTGCGTTAGATCTCTCTAACATGTCCCTGACTTCACCATTATCAATAGAACAAATTGCAGTATCTCATCCTCAACCACATGTCCACATATGTTGAATTTCAGACAACTTTAAGACACATTTGTCAACAACACCAACACCAACATCAACCCAGTGGAATCCCACAAGTACGGTTTGGGAAGGATAGTGTATCCGCAGGCCTAACCCCTATCCTGAAAAGATAGAGAGACTGTTTTCGATAGACCCTCGACTAAGGAAAGATAAAAAAAAAAAAAAAACAGTAAAAACAAATAATATCTCAAGACACATTTGTCATTATATAGAAAATAAGATCAGAGACCCTTCTAAACGTCATAAATAGCAACAGATTCCATGAAAAGACCAAGAAATCAGTACTATTATACATGTCAATTAGCTATTATACATCAGAAGGAAACAGGGAAACCAATATTGTTAGTAAATATGATGAGATTGAGACCAATTAATTTAACAAGAGTTGGATCATTTCTTGGGATGAATACTTTGCACAACAGCCTCAATCTCTTCCTTAACTCGTTCAAATACATTTGGCCCCTTAACTTCATCTACTGGAGTGCTCTCATCAATGTCATCACTAGTTCCGTGAGTTTCCTTGTGATGCTGAGGTTTTTTGTCGTGGTGAATCATAGCCTCAATCTCTTCCTTTGCCCGCTCTATCAAATTTGGTGCTTTTACATCTTTTGCATCTATCAATAGAGAGATCAAAATGGCAATAAGAAACATAAAACACAACATCCCCTCCCTTGTTAGCCCTTAAAAAATATTTTAAGTCTGAATAATAAGTTAAAATAACATCACAAATAAATCATTTCCCAGCAGACAAGAAAGGATTTAGAAACAAATTGAAAAGAAAGGGGGAAATAATATCAATTGGCAATTGCAAAATTCAGCAACAACATTGCAAGATTAGTAAAAAGATTCAATTTTTAAGCCAATCAATGTCCACATATATGCTCAAATTGGACCAATCTAGCGGGAGCTAAAGAGGGTCTAATTTCTCGACATCAAAAGAAAAACCTGACCAACTATTTCACAAATACATGAGGAATTAGGACGTCGGTAAGTGAAAGAAACCCCAATATGTGCACTATTTTCTCTAATTTTAAATCGGCAGCATCTCAATTTGCAAATTTAATTTTTCTCAGGATACCCCTTTTCGTTTACAATGAATAGAGAATAGGAAAGAAATTGGGAAGATAATAGGAAAAGGGAAATCATTACCGGAAGTAGATGTTGGGGCTTCATTGCCTCTAGATTCTGCCATGGGGAAGGCTCTGATCACCGTTTTGCAGAGAAGCCGAAGAACTTCGGTTTCTGAAGATGTGGATATACTATAAAATACAAAAGAGAAAACAACGCGGGCTTCGGGCTATGTAAAGCCCGCTGCTTCGAGTTGGATTTCCAAGGGTGAATTGCACAAATAGCACACTTTCGGTGCCGCTATTTTTACCTCATATAATAAAGGTTAACACCTTATTTATGTTAAATAAATATCATTTAAAGAAATTATATTCTATAGATAACTTCTAAGGTTTACAGCAAATATTTAATTTTGGTTTCCTCCTAGCTCTAAGCCACTAAATATGCTAATCAGTTACACTATTTTCTTTCTCTCTCTCTCTACTTTGATAGATCCCATTCTCTTCCCCCATCCCATTAAAATTTCGATCTCCTCCTCCTTCCACCGTATTTGTGCAAAACCCACTTCAGAAATTGCTCCGGCTCTTGCATCCGACGACTGCAACGGCATATTCCTACAGTGCGTTTTCACTTCCGAATCCAAAATCAAACACTTCCGGGACCCATAATGACTCGGGCGAAAAGGGATTTTTACTGAATTTCAAGGACGAGTTAGGGAAATTATGGACTTTTAGATATTCATATTGAAATAGTAGTCAAAGTTATGTATTAACTAAATGATGGAGTCGTTTTGTGAAGGAGAAAAAATTAGACGCCAGTGATTTTGTTTTGTTCGAGCGCCACCGGTTAGACGGCAACCGTACATTTATTGGGTGGAGGAGGAGGAACACCGCCGCTGGAGCCACCGTTTTGGAGCAAGAAAGGGGGGTTAGACGACGACCGTCACTGTCGTTTTCCTGCTTCTAATGTTGTTCTTGCTGATGTATTTTTCATGTATTTCACTGTATTCATTGTCTTTTTTTTATTGTAATTTAATGTATCTTGTTGTATTTCATGTATTTCATTGTAATCACTGTCTTTTTTTCTCATTGTATCTCAATGTATCCCGTTGTATTCTATGTATTTCATTGTATTCACTATCTCGCTATATGCCATGAATGTATTCTTAAGTTTTTTTAATTAATATAATTTATGTATTCAGATGTATTTATATAATTTCTCTGAAGATTGTTAGGTTTTTGGGGTATTTTTCGGTTGAAAATCTTTTTTATAACTGAAAATACAAAATTTGTGTGTTATAATTGAGTTTGTTGAGTTATATTAGGAGTCTATTATGTTAATTGATTCACTTTCCCTTTTAAAAACAGTGTCATCCCCTATTTCACGCCGTGAATACAGTCGAATACAATAATCTGTCCAGCTGTAATCCCATGTTTCACTCCATGAATACAGTCGAATACACTCGAATACAACAACTGATTAGCTAGACTTCCCTGATTCACGCCTATTTTTGCTACTGTATTCATGAATACAATAACTTAAATACATCTTATAACCACATAAAAGGTATCTATAATTCGTAATATAGCAAATGGTATCTATAGATGGCTAATTACTACTAAAAGATAGTGCTTTATGAAAATGTCGCTTTAATTTTTTGATCTCGTTTCCTTGCTGGCAGAATTTTAAGTTTAACAAGTGTTGGTCTCACTTGACCCATGGGTAAAACTTTTTATTTTTGACCGTAAAGATTTTCACATATGATAAAGGATGTAGACAATAAATTTGCGTCGAGAAAATAAAATCAAGACCGAAAATATCGCAACAATCGTAGTATTTTATTTCGAATATTTGAGTGTTACAATCTCTATGGATCCTCTGATTCTTCTTTCCAATTGTAAATAAATTCAAGGGCCTTTGAGCTTGATCTTGAATATGTAGTTGTCACCACGAACGATGATCTTGTTCTTGAGCTTTAGCTTGATTGCTTGAACTTGACCTTGATTTGTTCTTCGTTCTTGAGCTTGAACTTGATTTGTTCTTCGTTCTTGAGCTTGAACTTGATTGCTTGAAGCTTGAAACTTGTAGAGAAATTTGCGGCGTTTGATCCACGAGCTCTCTCTTGCTACTTGTTATAACTTCTGGTGTCTTTTCTGAGTTATGAAGACCCCTATTTATAGTTGTGGAAGGGAGGAGTCATGATAAGAACAAACTCTTTCGACCAATCAAATTGAAGTGTGACATGACCGCATTTGATTGGCCAGAACATGTCACTTGCACACGTGGCGCGACTTCATTGGCCTTTCAGAGTGACTGGGCATGCCTTGTCATTTTGACACGTGCTATGATCCTATTGGCTCTTCCGCTTGACTTGGCGCGCCACGCCATTTGACACGTGGCACCAAACTGGGCCTCTAGGAAGATGACATCTTGGGCTTAATGAAGTGGGCTCATAACTTTAGCCCAATTAAATGGGCTAGCCCAATGGATTAAGACTTATTTATTTAATCCATATATATTGGACTTATATAATTAATCCAATTATATTAGCCCAAAATATTTATTTGGACCAATATATCTTGAATTTAAAATATAGCCCAAATTATTTTATTAAATTTAAATTCAATAAAATTTGCATGCCTACAAATGCCCCCTACTTCAAGACTTGTCGAGGTATAGATTTATCGAGCTTTTAAGACGAGACTTAAAGTATGTAAAAAGTATTACTTCATTTTGATTGGCTTCTCACCAATGCATCTTTTCACGTTACAATATAACTTAAGAAGATTTTGAATTTAAACGTGAGCCTTTCCATGGAATTTTACGTGATCAACTTCAAGTAGGACACTCCTTTGCATTCCACTTTGACATTTTAACAAATTCTAATAGAAATCAAACTGCTTTTGGCAGATAGTTGCTCGGATAAAAACTTGTCCAATACCAAATGGGTTTTGAAAACTTTGCACTGCCCTTAATAAATTTGTCCCACATCGATATTTAGCTTTCAATAGCCACCTTTTGACATCTATAAATACAGCACATCCTTCATTCCATTAGTATCAATTTCAGCATTTGCAAATTGCTTTGAGTCAACTTTTGACGACTTGGAGGCATTAACGCGAAGGTAACTTCTTTTTTTTTTTTTGTGCTTTCTTCTTTTGTTATCTTTTTTCTTTTTTTGTAGGTCAAGCGAGAAAGATATATTCTTGTTCAACAAGATGATCCACGCATGAAGAAGACAATCTTGGGGTGTGAGGGGATGAGTACTCATCCTTCCCGAATATCGGAGAGATTACTCTCAATGGCCCGACTATCGGAGAGATTACTCTTAATGTCGCTCGACTATCGGAGAGATTACTCTCAAAATGACCCGACTATCGGAGAGATTACTCTCAATGTGGTCCGACTATCGGAGAGATTACTCTCAAAATGACCCGACTATCGAAGAGATTACTCTTAAAATGACCCGACTATCGGAGAGATTACTCTCAAAACGACCCAACTATCGGAGAGATTACTCTCAAAATGACCCGACTATCGGAGAGATTACTCTCAAGGCGGCCCGATTATCGGAGAGATTACTCTCAAAATTAGGGGTGTTCATTCGGGTCGGATATCCGAAATCCGAACCGATCCATTCAATTTTGGATTTCGGATATCGGATTTCGGATTGTGTTTATTAAAACTTCGGATTTTGGATCGGATTCGGATTGGTATATTTTAATCCGATCCGATCCGAAATTCGAAATTATTAGGCAATGTTTCGGAGAGTCAGTACTTCCTTAACATCTTCCTCCAAGTTATTACCTTTACAATTGCTAGATTTAACTATATTGACACAATAGCACCCTCATAATTGCATAAACATGAATTTTTCTTAATGTATTGCCTCTTTTCAAAGAAAATATACATATTAGTTTGCAACTTTGAGGCATAATACAATCTGAAATCCAATCCGATCCAAAATTTAAAATCTGAATCTGATCCGATATACTTCGGATCAGATTCGGATTGCATTTTCTAGAATCCGAAATCCGAAATTCGAATCCGAAATGTGCTAAATCCGATCCGATCCGATCCGTGCACATCCCTACTCAAAATGACCCGACTATCGAAGAGATTACTCTCAAAGTGGCTCGACTACCGGAGAGATTACTCTCAATGTGGCCCGACTATCGGAGAGATTACTCTCAATGTGGCCCGACTATCGGAGAGATTACTCTCAATGTGGCCCGACTATCGGAGAGATTACTCTCAATGTGGCCCGACTATCGAAGAGATTACTCTCAATGTGGCCCGACTATCGGAGAGATTACTCTCAATGTGGACCGACTATCGGAGAGATTACTTTCAATGTGGTCCGACTATCGGAGAGATTACTCTCAATGTGGCCCGACTATCGGAGAGATTACTCTCAATGTGGCTCGACTATCGGAGAGATTACTCTCAATGTGGCCCGACTATCGGAGAGATTACTATCAATGTGGTCCGGCTACCGGAGAGATTACTCTCAAAATGACCCGACTATCGGAGAGGCCAACTTAAGTGCAAAGGGACTTATATGTCCACCTTAAGATTGAAAAGTTATAAAGCTTCAACTTGAAGACTTCATGGACTTGATGACATTTACTTGAACACTTGGAAAACTTTGAAGATTTGGCGGACTTTGCAGACTTCAATCTGAAGACTGACAAACTTGAAGATTTGGCGGACTTTGACGTTTCAACCTGAAGACTGACAAACTTGAAGATTCGGCAGACTTTGACGTTTCAACCTGAAAAATATGAGGGCTCAAATATTTCCACTTGAAGACCGATGAGTTTGAGGACCTCAACATGAAGACTTCAACTTGAAGATTTGGAGGTTTAAATATTTCGACTTTAAGACCGATGAATTTGAAGACCTCAACTTGAAGACCGACGGACTTGAAGACTTCAACTTGGAGACTTGGAGGGCTTAAATATTTCAACTCGAAGGGTGGCGAACGTGAAGACTTCAACTTGAAGACCGACGAACTTGAAGATTTCAACTTGGAGGCTTAAATATTTCAGCTTCTCTTTTACTTTACATTGTCTGACTTTTATCTTAGTCGCATAATTTTCAGCTTTAAGCGCTTGTAACAAAAGATTCATATTTTGTCGTGGGAGAGTCCAAATAATGAACCGTTTGATTTCTCGAAATTAGACTTCAATATCTAAAATATATCCAAGATTTAGAATCAAACACATTCAGTATCGCCC